ATGCCCAAGAGAGAAATGGGGACCCGGTATGACGAAAGCATTCGTGTTAGTAATTGCTTATGCCCTCACGGTGACCATATGGTAGAAGTACTCCCCAGGGAGTGGAGATGGTGTACATTGTGCGTGAATGAATCCGATGACCGGGGTAATGATATATGTAAAGCGCTATAAAACTCCAGAATATTTTTTATTATAATTGGTCTTGAGTCGGTGTGGCGGAGAGACAAAAGCATAGTTAAACGTCACTGACTATCCCTAATGTTTGATAGAGAAAAAAATAACACCGTATGGACAGCAATTTCCGTCTTCCATATCATGGAGTGTCGAGAAAGATTAATCAAGCGTAACAAATGGTGAGCGCCGGGGGAGGGGGGGGGGTGGGGGATAAAGGGGGGATTGAATCGTTATAGTCTTATCCCCATGTTTATTTTTTCTGTTCAATTTTCCGAAATAGTTTTAATTCCAACTCCCCTACCCCCTAAGCAAAACAAAATAATAGTAATAATACTATAAATACAATTGAAGGGAACACTAAAGACATGGATTAGGTAGAAATGGCAATATAAAACACTCGCAAACAGTTTCCTCTTTAATTTTCTATTTCAAACTAAAGACTCATTAGATCTTTTCGTTCCAGATTTTATACAATCATCTACATCTCAGACTGAATACAAAATTGTTGTTCCCTCATTTTAAGAGATGATCAATCTTCTGAGAGACATGATTCTTGACATTTAGCATTAAATCAAATCTCGCGTGACTTTTACATGATAAACTGATTTAGTCTCCATCTATTTAATGACAGCTACATAGGCAATTTTTTCAATCTATTACACGATTTGCCGGGATGAATATCATGATTGTATATTTCATTTTCCTCGCCATTACGACCATACGCGTGCACAACAAACAACACAAGGAGATAACTGGAAATCATAAAATATATCAGATGGGTATCTGTGTATGTGTGGTTTGTCTTCAATTTGAAGGAATGACCAAACATGAACAATTATTAAAGGAGCCATCTTTTCTGACGAACGTTGACGAAAATCAGGGTTCGCCTTTGCGACATTTAGCTACTTTTAACGACGTTTAGCGACAATTATCAACATTTGAGCGATTGTTTACAATTTTTTTGCTAAAGGCAGTTGGCGACTGTTTTTATTACAGCGACTGTAAACAAATGCTAGCGACAGTTTTTGCGAAGATTAGCAACTATTTGCCAATCCTTTGCCCCTATTTGTGAATGTTTGGGACCTTTTGCTAACTCCTGGTACTCAATTGGTCGATTTTATATATGAACCTTAAGGTAACGTAGTAGTTAGCATTGGAGAATCAAAAGGAACTTCAGCGACACCGTCTTACAACCGTTTGGAAATGCTTACGACTGTTTTGCAAAGGCTTACGACTGTTTTGCAAAGGCTTATGACTGTTTTGCAAACGCTTGCAACTGTTTGAAAGAAAAAAAATTCGCAAAGAAAACCTGTTTGCGACCTATTAAAACTGTTTGCAAGCTTTATTGCAACCTTTTACGAACCTGTACAACCTTTTACGAACCCTGGCGAAACCCCAAATTTGCTACATTTGCAAGTATTCGCCGCTCAGTGAGATTAGTCTAATTGTTTGTAATTTGTGCAAATGCATGCAATTTCGGATCGTTTCTTTTATGCATTAGTCTCCTTTCACTTCCCATTAGTTGATGATTGATCTACCACAGCAAGCTACTTAGTGTTTGATTGAAGACATGCATCAACAGTATTTTGTACGTCTTACTCGGTAGGGCTAAATGAATGCGAGAGAATAAGGCAATCGCCATCGAGTGGGGGGGGGGGTGGGGTATAATCTCATTTCCATTTGACTTCCCCTCCCTGTCTCTCTTTACCCCCTCACTATTAAATGATAATGGAGGTGAAGATGGGGAGGGGGGGGGGGTGGGGGGAGGGGGATGTTCGTGCTCCACATACCCCCTTTGTCCCCTCTAGATACGTCCTTGGAAATTTATATTTAAAAATCTATGAACGTTAGAAGAAGAAAACTAATGAGTTGCACTCGCACCGGTTTTAACCGCTGCAAGAGAAGGAAAACAGATCGCGATAACAGTGACAATGATCATAATAATGATAATCGTTTATTCAGAAAACGGGAAACAATGGGGGAAACACCCAGAGCAAAAACACATATATTTCTGGGTTAAATATACAACCATATTGCAGATGTTCTCTAACTTGTCGGAAAAGTTGGTTTGGAAAAATCAGTTCAAAGGGCTCTGGGAGGCAAAATGATAACTGTGGGCGTTGAGTGGTGAAAAGAGGTTAAACAAAACCTAGGGGAAACCAAGGCATAACATGGAGGAAATCTAGCATGCTTGAAGTCCATTAGTTTCTGTATTTGTATACAATTTATTTCCTTTCTGAGTTTCTTCATCGCTTTCGATGATCGTTCTAGAGTGGTAAAGTCCTTAAAAATTTTAAAATGGGGAACAGCGATATTATGAGGATCTTCGGATATTGACCTGTTGAGAAAAAAGGACTTCACGTGATGTTTTTATACCCACTTGTAATTCAACAACACAAGCTGGATTGATTCGATGGCTTCATGATCACTCGCGTCACGACAAAAACATTGGATCAAGCAATGAAGGGGGTCCGGGTAAAAGGGCGGGGGCGATCTGTCTTACAATGAGTCAGGGCAGTTCGTAACATCTTGTCACGTGTTTTATATTTATTTCTTTATCCCCGGCCATCTCTCCTTCTCCCCCCCTCTCTCTCTCTCTCTCTCTCTCTCTCTCTCTCTCTTCCCTCCCCTTTCTCTCTCTCTATCTCCCCCTCTCTCTCTCTCTTGCTCTTAACATAGTTTCAGCATTTTCCTCTTGCCTACATTCGCCTTTTTTCAGTAAATATATGCAATCACATTCTTTACCAAATAAGCGGGAACAATCTAATTAAGCTACGGTCACAAACGTTCGTACGAACGATAATTTCGTACGAATCTCCCTGTTTTTCCATTGTCTTCCCGAATTTCCATTATCTGAAAATCGTTCGAACGGCGTTCGTAGCAGTTCGTAATGGCATTTGTGCCCGAGGCTTTAGATTAAGGCGTGACACAAGAATCCCTTAATTTCTCTCTTTATCTCTATATCTGTCTCTCCCCTCTTTTGCAGTCCCTCTTTGCCTCTGCTTCAGATGTGGGCGCAATAATTCAGTCGTAAAGAGAATACTCATATTTATTAAATTCCACAAACCGGTAATTCCTTCCTTTAAAACACCCCCCTACAAATTGTAACTTAGTGGTGGAATTATAATGGAATATTCATACAGAACATAGTTAGGCTTTGCAAATTCTATCCGCACTCTACATTTTCATTACATTTGTCCGTTTCCATTTTATTATCTCTCTTTACTCTATCTTTTGTCTTTCTGCCTCTGACTTTCTTTCTACTTTCTCCCCCATTCTCCCTCTCTCTCATTCTCTCACTCGTGCTCTCTTCCCCCTCTCTCTCTTTTTCTCTGTAATTCTGCCTTTCTCTCCTTCTCTCCTGTTCTTCCACTTTGTTGGGACACAGTTGGCGGATTTCTTTTCAGTTTGCTTATAAATCATGCGTAAGACATCAGTTTGATTTTAACTTTAGGCAAACACTTTTTCCCTAACTTCTCAAAAAATTCAAAATGCATTTTAGAAAAGAAAAAATGTAATCTGTCATGGATATGGATTTAGAAGGCAATGTTTTTATACTGTTTCAGGCTATAGCTTTTCGTTATAATTAAAAAAGAATAAACATTTATTCACAGATGTTGACGAAGCCCTCCTCCCCCTCCAGCGATTATGACGGGATAAACATTATTTCCTCAAATATCGATTTCTTTTGTTCTTATGTGCTATCTACAATTCCCCCTCTGGTGGTCGTTTGCTTATTGTTGGTTATCGATCTGCTCCTTTTTTGGGGGTTAATGTCTGGAAACTATTTCTCACGTTTCTATTTCATGGATTTGACTGTGCTCTATGCTTTGTAGAATTACCCCCTCTATCGGCTAAGTGTACCTATGATGTTTATCATACATACATACATACATTTATCGTTTCAAGTGTATGTCCATTTGCTGGTTGTCTTTTTGCATCTCCAAACCCTCTAAATAAGCGTAGGAGGGGGGGGGGAAATGACCCCCCTATTAAGTATTTACGGACTCTTTTGATAGATTTGCGATTACCTTCATCAATTAAAATGTATATAGTACTTAACCATTAGAGATTTAATGACGAGCGTAATTAACACAAGTTTAACCTCCCTGACATAATAAATAATAATTAAATAATAAACCATTATTTCCAAATTGATATACCCATTTAAAAAATATTTTACTTGCTCTCGCTTCCTTCCCTTAAGCTAACAATGCAATATAGGTGGTCTATAGACCTTGCTGTTGATTCAGATGATACCCCGTTTCATCTTCTTCTTTTTTGAAGTGCACTATTACGATTTTACAGGCAGAAATTAATTTCTTATAAAGGCTATATATCGTAATTATTTATCATACTATGTTATATATCATTTTGTTCAGCTTTGGAATTTTTTAGTCATATTACTTACTTAAAGAAATCCAATTTCCATTGGCACAGTGTTCAATTTTCCTAATATATATATACCTATATATGTATTAGCTTGCTTCGCTTACTCGATCAAAATGCCATCTTATTGAGCAGGGCATATAGTGTCGCATAATACAGTGCTGAAGGAACAACAAAATACCTAGTAGTTTGTTCCTTCGAAAAATATATATCTGAGTAAAACGGCTAATTTTTATATTTAGGGTTTATATTAATAATCGTTAAATTCCATTGCATATACACAGTGTGCTCCTTCTTTTAAAGGCCTTTTGGCTCTGAAAGAAATAAAGGACTAATGAATTGTTTTTTTTAAATTTTTCTTTAAACGCAGTATTTTTTTAAAACAAAAAAAGAATTATACAGAGTCTGCGAGTAAAGACTAAGGAAGAATATAATGCGCTGAACTATGGAATCTACGGCGTTAGTAGAGCCCTGTTTTCTACACACTCTCCGCTGATACGATTTTGGCGTCTGTCATGTCCCGGGTCATGTCTTCCTCTCTCTAGCTCTCTCTCTCTCTCTCTCTCCTGTCAGAACCACTGTCATAGCTACTTCATTGTCGTCGGCATCATCATCGTCATCATCATCGTATTCATCGTGACCACCATATTTATTCACACCCATGCACCTGTTGTAAGAAATGCGAACACTACTTTAAGTAGCAGAGTAGTGTACGGCAGGGTTTACAAGTTACGGTGTCCGTTTGTGTCCTTGTAAAGTGTTTTCTCGGTGCCGCCACAGTTGATGAATTGGGTACGTATTATCATTTGTAGTAGGTCTATGGTTATTTAACTTTGTCTGAAAAACGCGATTGACCTGTTCAAGAGCGAGCGTCCTTTGTGTATGCGTTTGTAGAGGCATTTGTTTTTCTTACCTGAGTGAAATATCGATCATTAGTTGTGCCTGTGCTATCTCAGTAATGTATTGTAAGTATATTAGACACCAGTAATACGAAGAAACCCCTATTTTGCGATAACAATTAATTTGGGGGGTTATGCAATATAGGGTCTGTGATATAGACTATGCTTCCTCAGAACTAAAGCCCTAACAAGGATGAGTGAGCATTTTGAAAAGCGCGGGTCAGAGCTAAGAAATGTACGAGGCGCCGCGAAACATGACGAGGGTAAATACCAGGGTATTAAAACACCTCCCTGGTAATACATATAGTTAGATACGTATACACAAACGGCTCCAACATGGAAATGGTGTTCACATTAATTTTATTGCGGATTCCATGGTAAAATTTAATGCTGAAAACGATGCCACCGATTTATTTTTAGGGAATCGGTGCCTAAAGTGCCCACATTTTATGCTTTAGGGACCCACCAGTAATTTAATGCATTCTAGAATACATATTCTAGCTGGAAAAGTTTGTTTGATGCAGAACATATTTATCTGAACAGTACGAGCCCTCAGTGAATATAGTGTGATTTGCAAGTTTTATTTACTTTAATCCCACCCCCTCTTACCATAGGTGTTGCCATGGACAGTGTTCCACTAGATCGACTTGGTACTCTTCTCATTGTGACGCTACTGTGTATGGTAGGACTGCGGTTCTTAATTTCTTGGATCAGAGATGGGAAGAAAATAAAGCTACCTCCTGGCCCAACTGCATGGCCTCTAGTTGGGAGTATACCGTTTCTGATCAGGTAAGGGTACTCAAGAAGAAATACCAACGGGTCAATAACCTTACAAAAGCACTTTAAGGGCATCTGAGTTTTTTGCATTAAAGGGTAAAAACCAAGTGAACATCGGGTAATAACCAACCAATTTGACCTAATGAGAGGCATTGTATCTCTCGCGGGAGGGCATCTTTTTCCATTTGTGAGGCTTACCTTTTTGTCGCAGAAGGGGAACGCCTGATGTTTGAAAAAGGTAAGGGAAATAAGCTCCTCCAACTCCTTTTGTCAAACCGTTGACAGCAATGATTGCGATTGAAAAGCGAATGCTATTTCGACCAAGTCATCGGAGAGAAAGCCATAATGGCATTTCGGGAGCGAGGGAAAGTATTTCGGAGTCCGAAATATTATAGCTGTTCACCCCGTTTTCGTCTTATTTCTTAGAAACGCAATGCATCTGATATCGTTATGAAAGGGGTATCAACTGAGAGCATGCCAGATCGATGATGACAGGCAAACGAATTATGTATGAGGAACATCTGTTCCATGTCGGTATGTGCAGTCGACGAACTATTAGCTAGATCTGTCCTTTGCATATGATAGTATAAAGACCCTGTCACTGGTGACTCTGTGACGGTAATTTCTTTTGCAAACTATTATGATCTTGTACATTGTTTTTCTCTAACCAACCGAAATCTAACCAGAAAGAAAGAAAAAAATCATGGAATTGTGTTTGATGCTATGATACGTCATCTACGATCATTACGTTTAATTTGTTTCAAATACGTTTGCGGATATGCCATGGAAAGTTGAAATATTAAATCTGTGGAGAGAAGGAAATACTACAAAGCAATGTGGTTCGCCGCCGTAAACAGTCTCGATTGGAAAATAATGCGGATGGATGCTGTTATAGCTGCACTACTTAATATGAAGGACGATACCAGCCTTGAACATAGTTATTTAACAGTACTACATATATTTTTAGAATATAATTGAATAAAAAGAATGAAATGACACACAGCAGGGATACACAAAATGAACAATATCAAGAACAAATATATATGTGTATAAATCTATATTCATTTATTTATTTTCGGTTTTCTCTTCAAATAATTAAATGATTTCCTTTAGCGCCCTCTCTTGTTATATATAATGAGGTTTAAGAACGTAGTAGTAGTAGTAGTAGTAGTAGTAGTAGAAGTAGTAGTAGTAGTAGTAGTAGTAGTAGTAGAAGTATGAGTGGTACGAGCGATATAAATGATTTCAATAGTAGTAGTGGCAGCTGTAGTAGAAGTAGCAGAAGTAATTAGAGTCGCATTAGTAGCAGTATCAGCAGCACAGTAGTATTAACAGCAGCAGAATGTTGTTTGCAGTAGTTGTTTCAGCAGTTGTTTGAGATATATTTTACCAATTACTTATCAGTACATATATTCAGTTTATTTAATCTCCTTTCCTTTCTGTTAACCATCTGGAGGTCGAAGTTACCGCCCCTCGATCTTCTGACCGCTCTGGCCGACGACCACGGGGACATTCTGCGCCTTCGTATCATGACCACGGAGGTGGTCATACTGAGCAGTTACGACATCATCAAAGAGGCTTACAATCATCCCAACCTCCAAGGCCGTCCCAGGATAGTACCGATTGAAGACTACATTGGTCGTCGAAACATAGGTGCGGTATATTTCCCGACAAAAAAACAAACAAACAAACGAACAAAAACACATGCAACTAGCCACACCAGATGTATTGTATGTATTACATTTATTAAACTTCATTGATGTGCATCAATAATATGTTTATAAACATATAAATCATATTATAATCAATTTACAATGCAATGTGACAAATCAAAATTCTGTTTGTAAAAATATATCATATAAATCAATTTACAATGAAGTGAAGCAAAGCAGAAAGAAAAATATATTCAGCAGACAAAATCCTTTTTCTTCTTGTAATAACATGACACATAATGCATTAAGTAAATATAGTATAATGTACCATAATATATCAGAGGTTTTAGATATATCAAACCTAATATAGCAATTTTCTAAATAAATTATAAATTAATATAGATGAATACATTCAGGCTTGAAGCAGGTACATCGCGTCCTGTAGTCGTGGGTAATATCGTTCATAACCCGATGTCTCAACTTTAAAATGCTGAAAGACAGCTTTCAATCGCATATCAACTCTAACGCCAGCTATACCTAACCCTAGCTATACCTAACCCTAACCCTAGTCCTAACCATACTTAACCATACCTAAGCAAACTGCCTTATTAAGGTCCAACTCTATATATCTCTGAAGAAATTTATCTTGCTGAAATGTCGCTGAAACAAACATTGGGTTAACATATTATTGAGTAATAAAAGAGATAATTATGATAATAATAATACGTTTTGTTTACCCAGGGTATGCATCATCAGTATTAATACTGTCCTGCCTAAGTGCCCTGCAATCACATTATTCTTCCTACCGGGTACCAATTTACCTCACCTGTATGGAGTGTATATTAATATCTTGCCAATATACATTAGTGCCGAGACGGAACTCGAACCGCGAACCATGAGATCCACATTCCCGTGACGTATCCACTAGAACCCGACCGGATAGTTCTCCCGGGGGTACTTGTCCTAGAGGATGGTCGCCGTATGGGGAAGTAACCGGGGGTAGTTGTTGGGGAGGTAGTTGACAAGGGGTTAGTTGTCCGTGGGTAGTTGTCCTAGGGGTGGTTGTCCTAGGGGGTATTTGTCTAGGGGTAGTTGTTCGGGGGTAGTTGTCCTAGGAGTAGTCGTCCTAGAGGGTGGTTGCCCTAGAGAGTAGGTGTCCTAGGGAGTAGTTGACTGGGGTGGTTATCCGGGGGTTGGATGTCCGGGCTTCACTCCAACGGGCAGGCTGCTGCACACTAAACCTCATATCACTTGCGTTGTAACCTGCAGTAATCAAATATTTGACATCGATTAGAAGGAAAAAACGGCAATAATTCCACGCTGTGTTTGCTCTCTACATTTTGCATTCCATTTGTACACTCTCCTGACGCCTCAAGGACTGCAACAATCTCTGACGCAGGACTGCGACAATCTCTGAAGCAGGACCGCGACAATATCTGACACAGGACCGTGACAATCTCTGAGGCAGGACCGCGACAATCTCTGACGCAGGGCTCCTTCATCAGTTGAATCGGACTTCGCGTGCAACGGGCAATATACAATTGATAATCAATGATAATATCAATGTCGCTTATGGTCCATGTTCATAACGAATGTCTGCCTTTTTATCATCAATGTTTGAATGCAGGAGTGGCGGGTTCGTCGGGGCCTGTCTGGCGAGAGCACAGGCAATTTGTCTTCTCAGCGTTCAGACATTTTTCTACCGGACCGCAGAACATAGATCACATCATTCATGTTGAAGCCAGGACGCTAGTTTCAGAAGTCTCTACGTTGTCGGTAAGGAGAATTTTTTACGAAATTAGTTTGTAAATCAATCAGGTCACAGTATAATTATATTGCAATTTGTCCTCAATGGGATCGCAGTCGATTGTGCGTCATGTCTATTTGACATTGAGGGCATTAGATAGATGTGTGACAAAGGGAAGATCTATATTGAAACAAACACTTTTCAGTCTATTTGACATTTAGGGCATTAAATAGATGTGTGACAAAGGGAAGATCTATATTGAAACAAACACTTTTCAGTCTATTTGACATTGAGGGCATTAAATAGATGTGTGACAAATGGAAGGCCTATTATTAAACAAACACTTTTCAGTTGATTTTACATTGATAGCATTAAATAGATGTGTGACAAATGGAAGGCCTATTATTAAACAAACACTTTTCAGTTGATTTTACATTGATGACACTGGATAGATGTTGACAGAAACGATACGTATTTCAGTTGATGAATTCTAATCGTTCCATAAATACAGTACCTTGAAGATATGTTGATCATCCTACATGAAGCGATCTCTTTCAAGGAGAAATAAACAAGATGGAAAGTCTTCCCGCTATATACTGTATTGTTATTTGTTGTGCTATTGAGACAATTTATTCATCGATACGAATCTCTCTCATTTATCATTGGTTGTGGAATCTGTGATGACTTTTTTTTTACCTTTACCACAGCGGAAGCCATTCAATCCACACAAGGTTTTGAACAATGCTGTTTCAAACGTCATTGCTGTTATGCTCTTTGGAAAGGCCTACAACTACGCTGATGACGACTTTAATCAGTTGCAGGAAATCATCAACACCAACCTTCAGGAGGGTAAGATAACTAATAAGATAAGTAATACACCCTTTCACGTTACCAGTAGGCACTTGGCGCGAAGGTTTCAATGGTAAAAGTCAGTGCTAGCCACATCCGGGATCTAAATAATCCTCATAACTAAAATTTCTTGCTCACTTCCACCTCTTGAAATGTCAAAATTTCAATAATTATTCTATACTCTCGAAAATGGGTGTTTTAAAACATTACTCGATGCAAAATTCATGCAAGTAAATGCATTCAATTAAAAATCGCTTGGGAAACTCATCCTTGATTTGTCGCCTCGTCCGAGTTGTCCTTAATGCCATGTCTTCCGACTTAGCACTGACCTAACCTTACAGATCTATTCCGGTCTTTTCTGAGACGCTGGGACCCCGATGTAGCACCATTCGGAATGATAATAACCAGTTTGGATCTGCACCTGGAAAAGACATTTCCTGAACCACTCCGATCCGTAATTATATTATTTTGTATCAATTGTTAGAGACAGAAGTTTTGTCCGAGCATCATTTAGTATGAAATGTACATTTCATAACGTATAATTTCCGTAAAAAACAGAGTTTTAGCTGTGATGGATCCAGCCTGGCAAACACTTTTGTTACTATCTTTTTTTTAACCAACCGATGTCACCTATATATGTAGATAATGTGAAATGCGAATTCCATTACCCGGTGTTTGCCAATATTTCACTAAAAACACAGTACATAACCACTACCTTTTCACCGAGGAAAAATACAAAATTTCTGTTAAAAACACAATGAACACGCACATGCGAGCGTATACAGAATTAAGCCAATTTCTAAGAATTTCACTGCGAGAACACTACATAATACCTTTGCAGAGGAGCTCGGGATAGATTAAATCTATCCAAAAATCTATTTAAAAAAAGATTAAATCTCATTTTCAGCAACATAAAGACATTCGTACAGGGATGCATCTTATTTTTAAAGATTTGTTAATACATTGATGACTTTAAACCTCTAATAAATGATATTTTTTAATTACATCACCACTATCTTTAGCATATCGCGCAAGTATTTAATCCTTTTCTCACGGGAGTGGGTCAAAGTGTCTTCGCTTGAAAGTAGGTCAAAATCTTATGGTTTCTTCTTGTGTAAGAAACAATGAAACCATGCAAGGCTTGGAGGAGTATACATTGAATACCTCGTTGAATGAAACCTTTTAAGCACTACACGCCCTCAAACTCTTACAATTATTCTTCTAATTGCTAACCGTTAATCCTGATAATTGTCGAAACCATTGAATCTGAAGACATAAACTTTCCCAAAAAGCAGATCAAAGTTAGTCGAAATTTCATGTTCTAACGATTTCTGACCGTGGGATAATTTGATCATCGTATCAGATTATTCTGTATGTATATCAACATGATTTTCTGAGTTTGCAGTATGGCGGTGTGACCAAACTTCACGGGTGTCCGCAGATCACGGACGGTCAAAATAAACTGTTTGTTTTCGGTTTTCATTTTCCGGGACATATGCTATCGAGTGATCTCGATGCAGCAGATCGAGAAATAAAACACTTGACTATAATAATAATAATATAATAATATATTTTTTTTATAGCGCTATATCCAATTTAAAAATGATCAAAGCGCTTTTCAAAGCAAAAAAATCAATGAATTATGATACAAAATCTAATGCAGTTAAATACAATGTAAATAGGTATGTATTTAGATGCTTCTTAAAAACCTCAACTGACATACTACAGCGTAATTCACAAGGTAACTCACAAGGTAATTCACAAGGTAACCTATTCCCTGACTATAGAGAGTGATGGATGAAAGCTTGACTAGTAACTCTTATTAAAGCATAAACTATATGGTTTTTTTTTACCTCAAAATGCTGAAAATTTCTCTATATACCGGATGTCTGCTTAACCTAGACATTTGTTCAATATCTTTAAAGCGTATCTGCCATAGTTTACAGGAGGGATTAGACTGCCCTGCAAGGTCACTGGACAGGTGGTTATCTCATCAACTCAGCTTTCAGTTAACATAAGAAAAACGGTCACCGATTAGGCATGGTTTGTTATATAGAGGGCGCAAGTAGCTACAAGTAGGGCAGTGAGCCTTTAAATGATTGGCTTTCACGGTGTTCTTTTAAGATTTCGAAACCATAAAAGATTTAGTAGGTGGAGTTGTAAAGTCACATGAGAAAACATGTCTTTTCTGCAGACGTAAACATTTTGAAATATTTATATAATTGTGTCCTCACAATTTTGCTATGCCAGGAACTTTGATCAACAAGGTTATCTTCCTATATTGTTTACAAGTTTACCTTGAGTTTAAAGTATGGCTTTGTGACCAAACTTCGCACCTGATCTAAAGTTGCAGATCCGGTCGGACACAACCTTTTGAATAATTGATTAATGAAGATTCCAACGTTCTGGCACAATTTATAGAAAGAGTGAACCAAATTTATTTGTTTAATTATTTATCCATTTATTTATTCATTATTACATTTGCTCATATATTAATATATATATATAGGCCTATAAATATGCATACTATATATATATATATATATATATATATATATATATATGTTTTGATGTTTAATAATGTGAAATGAAGCCGAAAGAACATTACACATTGTCAGAGGGATAACAAAAAAAGCCATTATCAATATAAACAATGTTCGGCCCCCATTACAATTGTCGACGATAGGTAATTTTTGCAAACCTGGAGTTTTGTGAAATCCTGGATCTTTCCTAGTTCATTTTTTCTGTTATTGGCAATAATCTTATTGTTATTATTATCAATATTATTTATTCTTTCAATTGTTCTTTTTCGTAGCTGCCTCGGGAGGGATTTATCTCTTCATTCCTTTCTTGGCGAAGGTTCCATTCAGCCCGGCCAACAAAATCAAGCAAGGGATTAAGAGATTTACCGACTTCACGAAGAAGATCGTCAATGAACACCGACACGTTTTCGAGCCCGATCATCCGCGTGACATCATCGATTTGTACCTGAAGAAAATACAAGAAGATCATGAGGTTCGTATATTGATCTTATCGCATACCCCCAGTCAAACTGATCGGACAGACACCAGAGCAAACACCAAACCGAATCCCAACCCTAAGCCGAACATAAACGATGAAAACCCATAGTAATAACTAACCCGCAGTCTATAGATATGATTTAAAGCAATCGTCGCCAGAAAATAATGGTCGGAGTGCGACCAAACAAAAATCCTTTTCCCGATGGCCAATATATTGGCTATTGCCGTTTGGTGCTGCTTTTGGCGTGTGACAGGGGTATGCAATCCGCTGATCCACTGATCTTTTTCAGTGAGGTACAAGGGTCTTTTGTGCATCTTTGTCATAACCCCTTCTCTCCTTGCGGCAGACAGCGCTGTGAGCTCTCACGGATGTACTTCCGTTAACGTTTGCTAAGGGCTATATTTCGTCAGATCTATATCGAAGGGTGGCTTGGCGAAATTATCGTGACAGGGCGGACAAAAGCAACAAATTAGGCATAAAACATGTTTTTGAGATTTAATCTTTACAAAAGAAGCATAAATTTGTTCACAGAGTAAATTTTTGAGAGCATTGAAAGTATCCTTTCATATTTTAAAATAACAGTGGGTTTAAAGGTACTATGCCACTTTTGCAGCCAACCTCAAATTCTGTAGAACTTTGCATGAATTATGAATACGTCATGTATGTCCTATCTGTGAAATTTAAACATTAGCAGTGTCCTAATATTCAAATTATGCAAGGAAACCCGTTTACTTGCTAGACTTCACTGTCAGACACTATTGAGGGACTGACTGGCTTTTTTCTTCTTTGGTAATAACATACATAAAATGAGCTGTAAAGGGTACATGAGCATTTGTCTACATCAATTAACCCACTTCTTGTGATGGCCAAAATTAAACTGATTGAATCTTTGCGCAGCATAAAACGTATGACCATTCGGTACAATGGTCTGAAAATCAAGACTATTTCCTATTGGCTCTATAGCTCCTAAGTCGATTTGACAACTAATAGTCGTCATTTTCCCCACTTTAAGACATTTTCAAGCCCCACCTTTTTAGGGAAGTTCTAAATTAGTATTATCTTTCAAATGCCGTTGGAATTTAACTTTTCATTTTTTGGCCTGCAAATGGGACATTATACCTTTAAAAAGATATTTAATATTTGTTAATAAATAATGTAAAGGGCGCCTTAATTTGTGTCCCAAAAGATTACTTGTACCGTGTGAGTCAAAAAAAAGTTTACACCTAGAAAATTGCTAATTATTTTTAAAATCATCTATGAACAGTAAATTATTATACATCTTCTCAAAACCCACCTTTTTAATCAGTTATAGTTTACTGGAGGCGCACACAAGTAGTTAATTCCATTCAACTCAATTGTATTGTATTGCATTGTATTAGTAATATTTCATTTTACTTTGTTGCTTTTAAGGTATTAAACATGTTGAATAATTAAAAGTTAGACAGTACCACCTGTGCGCTTAGAAACATCTGTATAAAGCGCCCTATAAATGTTATTATTATTATTATTATTACATCTTATGAAAGGGTGTTTTATCCCAAATCATTTTTGTGTGGTATGTGTTCATGCTTGGATGAACAGGTGGCATTGTTTGCGAGAGTGCAAAAATCGACTTGCGCCAAAATGATGCCTTCAGTATGTATTATGTTGGGATTAGCGGAGTGAGAGAATGGATTGAATGTATCAAATGAAAGCATGGTATTATACAACTAGGTAGTAATAGCTAATGCCCGGGGGCTCATTTCGGCTTCGGCTGCTGTTTTACTTGCGCTAATCCATGAATCTAGGATATAAAGTAAATTTGTGCAGTTGATGGTAATTCAACACTATGCCTTTTTCTGCTCATTTCGCATTCGCTGTCTACACAACGTTCCTATCACAATTAGCATCATAGGCTGCGCCACTCGCTGACGTAGTGTCAGTGGCGTAATGAGCAAAAACTTTTGGGCTTTTGGGGGTCAGAACAAAATCCTTATCACCACTAAGTAGCATAATACAGGGGCGGCAGAGCGTCTTCCAAAATAGGGAGGGGTCACCAACAAACAAGGGCACGTTCTGGAAAGCAGGGGCACCTACAAAAGGAAACATCAACAAAACCTTCACCATTTTAGACATATACCCCTACATCTTTATGATTGTGATTAAACTACCAGGGATGATATCAATATTAGTTTTTTTCTTTACGTGGTACAAGATACTGTTTTATCATTAAGAAACATACTTTGCAGTTAGGTGTGATGGTCTGAATATTAATTTTCGAACGAAAATCTTATAAAGAACCCCCCCCCCCCAAAAAAAAAAAAAAAAAAAAAAAAAAAAAAACCTGATGAGTATTAAGCACAATCTAATGAAGAAAGACTGAAAAGTTATTTTATAAGTAACATAATTATAACATCTATAAATGCGAGCGAGCACAGCGAGCTCGCTCTAGGGAAAAAGGGCTCTAAGTCGCCTTGAACTAGGGGTTCATGTTATGGAGAAAGGAAAAGTAGGCACTTATCAAAAGGGAAAAGGACAGTTATTAGAAAAGAAAAGGTGCTTGTGTCAAGGTAAAAAAGGCAATTATCAGAGCCTGAAAATGGCACTTTTTTCACCGGGAAAGGCACTTGTCAGACCGTAAATGAGGAATCTGTTGAAGGAGAAAGGCACCTATCAGATTTTAATAGGGGCATTTATCAGATGTTGATAGGGCGTTTAGGGGAGGGGGAGGGGCTCATATAACAAAGGAAAAGGGGCACCTTATCTGAAGGAAATATGGTACTTATTAGAAAGGAAAAGTGGCACGTAACAAAATAAAAGCTGCACTTATCAGAGTCGAAAAGTGGCACTTATCAGGGATGAAACGTGGCGTTTAAGAAAAAGTGAAGGGGGTTCTTATTAATAAGGAAAAAATACACTTATTAAAAAGGAAAAGGAGCTCGGGTCAAAATAAAAAAAGGGGAAAAATATCATGGGTGTAAACTAAGGGGAATTTATCGCACGTAAACAGACGTACTCACCAGAGATGAAAAGAGAGGCAAAGGACAGTTATTAGAAAGAAAAGGGGCAATTGTCTTATGTAAAAAGGGGCTTTTGGAGGATAACTGAAAAAATGGGGGCACATTGCACATTGCACAATACACAAACAAAAACCGTCAGGCTAGATAGTTCACAGTTTCGTTATTTAATGTGTAATATGAAGGCAATATAGGCCAAAATATTTACTTAAAAACGTATTTTGTTTGGTGATACACATGGTGTTTCATGCTATTGCGCTCCGTTGGCAATAACAATAGAACGCTGTTTTGAGGTAGTGGATAGTCGGTCTTGGCCTGGACTAATTTTGCCATTTTCATATTTAAGAGCTGATTGGAAATTGCTAAAACAGCTTTGAACATAATCAGAACATTTCTACAGTGTGAACCAGTTTAATTAGTCGTTAAAAAATTGCACCACCAAGTGTCTACGCAATGCCAATGCCAGACCGTTTTATCATGTCATTTCTCTGCTTCTTTTTTCTCCTTCAAGGGAGGCATTGAATCTTCATTCGACGAGACAAACCTTCATGTGTTGTGCGGAGATCTTTTCGGGGCCAGCACCGAAACAACAAACGCCTCCCTCAAATGGTCCATCCTCTACATGATGATACACCCCGAGGTCCAGACTAAGGTGCAAGAGGAACTAGACCGTGTCGTGGGACGAGACCGGCTCCCAGAACTAGATGATCGTGCTAGTCTTCCCTTCACTTTGGCAACGCTACACGAAATCCAACGCATGGGACACGTGTTTCCGCTTAGTATTCCGCATGCGTGCACCGCTGATATGAGATTGGCTGACTACGATATTCCAGAAGGCACATTGGTCGTGTCGAACCTTTGGCGGTTGTCACGGGACAGCAGACTCTGGTCTGATCCGGATGAATTTAGGCCAGATCGGTTTCTGAATGAGAGTGGTGATTGTATTAAGCCAGAAGCACTCATCCCATTTAGTATTGGTAAGACGCCATTTTTAAGTACTGTAGTATAGTAGAAGACTTCCTTACTTGGGAGTAAATGTAAATCACAACAAATATTCAGTGCAAGTTTCGGGTCCGACAAAGAATGAGAAATTAAAGATTTGTAAAAAGGTATTAAGATCACTAATGATATCTGAATTTTCCTATGAGCAATACTACGGTCACTATGTGTGATGCGTGACTCATTGTCATGGCAGCAATGTATTAATAAATAGGATTTGTTTAATTTCAATAAATAGGATGTGTTTAATTTCAATAAATAGGAATTGTTTAATTTCAATAAATAGGATTTGTTTAATTTCAATAAATAAATTGTACGTAGTGGCCTTGAAATAATATGGACTCCCCTGCCTTAAGATAAATAAATATTCATTCAGATTTTGCATTCGAAGCAACAGTGAAAAGTACTACTATTTAATCATGAATTTTTATGTCTGCTTAGCAACAATATATTTATTAATCTGTAACTTGTTGTCACTTCATCCACACTCTATCTTTCTCTCTTCCTATTTAACTTTCTCTCCCAATCTCTCTTCAGTCTGTACCTTTCATTCTTCTCATGTCTTTGCTGTACTTTTGCATAACCCGGAACCCCCAATTTTATGTCTTTTGCCTGTACTTAATTGTCAGGGTTCACAACGCATCAAGCTTCGCATGGCCTGGAGCCCTGGCGATTTCTGTTAGAAATTAAGTTTATATTTCTGCATGTTTGTTTTAATGTTTACTGATTGTGTCATGTATTCGGAACTGAAAAAAATAAAATAAAATAAATGAAAGTGTAATAGAAATTTATTTTAATACCCTTTATTTAATTATTCATAACTTCTTTGTCTTCTGACTATTACAATTCCACACGATATTTATTCCTTTCTCGTATTTCTTTTAAACAATTATTATTTTGTTGTTGTTTACAGGAAAGAGAGTGTGCATTGGAGAGTCCATCGCGAGAAAAGAGATTTTTGTCTTCTTCTCAAGCCTTCTCCACCGATTCCACTTCTCTATCCCCGCAGGCGGCCGTCCTCCGTCGCTCCAGGGTCGGCTTGGACTTGTCTATGACACACAGGATTACATAACATGTGCGTCTCCGAGAACGTAGATGTCTGATGAAACAGTACAAGAGGAAGAATTTTAATTTCCTTTTGTCTGTCATGTAATCAGATTGGCTTGACCTCCTGGGCGACGTTTCACCTCGCTGCCTACTTCGTGTGACCTTTTAGCGTCTTCCGAAAGCGCTATTATAATTATTCCGCTAATGATCGCTAAACGCCGGAAATACGTCGATTCGAACATACCCTAATTAGGTCTTTACACATATACTGCAACGACCTTTGTAGATGGGGGTGGGAGGGGAGGGAGGGGGGGGGGGGGGGGGGGGGGGGGGGGGGGGGGGAGGGTGTTCGTCATATATACATCTGGAACGTGACTCCTGCTTCTATTTCAATGATACATATTCATTATTTGTATAGTTAATGATCGCTAGATAAAATTGCAGCGACGTGTAGAAGTAACTTCGAATTCATTTTGACTTTCTAGCATTCTACATTCTACTACAACAACAACAACAACTACTACTACTACTGCTTCTAATACTACTTCTTCTACTTCTATTACTACTACTACTACTATTACTACTACTACTATTACTACTACTTCTGCTACTACAACTAATACTACTACTCCTATTTCTTTCTATTCATTTTTGTTTATCGGTAACACATTGCATATTTATATTTATGTTCATACCTGTATTCCAATTTAAAATGTCTAACCCCAACATTATGTGATAAATTTTCATATCGTACATCAGTACATACCACCTAATAAATACAACTTCTAATACTACTAGGGTGATCACACTGCCTGTGCACACAGTCTGCCCCATGCACATGCACACACACAACAGCAGTCACTTGGTAGAAATAGCAATTTTCATAAATGAACAATATTTTTAAATTTGTATTTCACATATCTTTTAAGCATACCTTTAACTACAATGCTGTGTAGTTTCATTGTTATAGGCATGTGGGAAATGTGTTAAATTATTAATTAGAATATTGTCTATTTTTTTAAAAGAAACTATACTGTGATGTAGCTGAAAGTCTGCAGATTCTTATCATTTGTTCGATTTTTCTGAATAATTGTGAAACATATGAGGAAATAGCTGTAACGGAGATCCAAGTAATTTCCATCGCCATATTTTATTGGCATTGCAAAAAATATTTGGAATTTAATGTTAATATTTGGTGTAAATATGATCTATAAATATATGATTTCAAAAAAATGCCAACAAAATGACCAGTTTGACTTTCCTATATATATAATTAGCTGAAATAACCTAATTTGCATATTTGATGAATATTCATATTTTTTTTCTTCAAAAAAAAATAAAAAAATTCCATACCTGTCTAATATACATAGGTTTCATTGATGTATCATGTTCAGTTTTGATTTGATTACATATGCGCATATTAATTAGACGGACTTAGTTATTTTCACAACTTTTTCATATCTGCAGATTCGCAAAAATGGCAAAAATGACTCATTTTGTTGGCTTCTGTTTTCAAAACGGTAATATATATATGAATTTTCTTTTTTGTATTTTTTACCACAAAGATGATATTTTAGTGTCTGATAATTTAATTTATTATTTGTGTCCGAGAAAGTGATGAATTAAGTTGTCAACTTTGTCGAATTTTGCCATATTTGCCAATTTGACCATTTCTGGCAGGTATTTCGGTAATTTTGCAATATCAAAAAAATGGTATAAAATCACAACGCATTGACCGATTTCAATTCTGTTTTTTGTTTTTTGAAGCTGTCATAAAGCTTGATCATTTGCAATCATCAAATAACATGTGTTTGTTGTACTTATTTTTGGTGTGCTATACCTAACACTACCACATTGTTCTACTACTCATATGTTTTCTTTTACCAGGCCAGCCTTATTATGCTATATAGTTATGAAAACAGATTATAGGTATGTTTTCCTCGTGTACCAGTCAACTCCTTAACGAATTTCACTTTCTCGCTCTATATTTCCCAGACTGATTCTGAGAGTTGTCGGGGTATAGTGGTTCGTTCACGTGACTCTAAATCGAAGGTTTACGGTTCGAATCCCAGCCCGGCACTAGTGCCCCATTGACAAGGCATTCGTTCACAACACGTACCACTCTCAACCCGTTTAAATGGGGATGTGGCACTTACTGGGAATTGATGTTGATGAGACCTCTGAGGATGAAAAAAAGTATTATTTATTATGTTCTTACCGCTCCATATCTCCCAGAGGTCAATAAACAGATTAATGTTTACATGTAACCAATACATTTTTTAAATTTAAACAAAGCACAGTACATGTATTAAAGGGCATTCCAGCCTTTGTAATTTTCATATTTTGTGAAAGCAGAAAATGAGCGAAACAGAATGACTTAAGTTGAAGTAATGGGGCAAATAATATGAACATTATGAAAGTTTGAAATTTATTTAGTGGATTGTGACGTACTAATGGTCAACATTTTCCGTTTGACGTGTACTCAAATATCAATGATAAATTATTTTCTCATCAGCGCCTTCCTCTTTTGTTGGCTTCCCCGTTTATTTTAATATCAAAGAAATCATCGTATTGTTAGTAAATTTTATCCCCGCCCCTTTTTCTTACTGAGGAATTTAAGTTATTTGATTTATATGTGATTTTTTAAAGGTCAGTGTTTAAAGCATTTTCCTGTTTGGATGATTCATGACAATTCATGTATCAACAAGAGAGAAAAATAGAGAGAGAGAGAGAGAGAGAGAGAGGAGAAGCGAGAGGGGGATGGGGGGGGGGGTAGGGTGGAGGGTTTTAAGGGGAACCAAGAACTCTCGAGTGGAAATGATACATTTATAAAGAATATATGTATTTGGCTGTTGTACATTGAAAAACGAAAGATAATCAATAACCAAATACCCATGTGAAAAAAGTGGTCAAACTGATTTTTATAACTGACGTAAGACGTTTTATTTCTTATAGCCAACACAGAACACGAAAATGTTGCAAAATAATGTAATTTGTTTAATTATTGTTATTTATGTGTTACGTTCCTATTCAATATGGCGGCCATTTCTTTTGTCAATCAGAATCGAACATTTTCCGACTTCTTCCAAGGTAACGCCTGAATACCATGGTTGAATGGCGACCACGAAGATATAATATTTTTTAGCTTCGAAACCAAATTATGGACTTCCATCTTCGATTAAAGGTAAAAAGGCCATCTAAACTTGTAAATAAGTTCATTTGGCAATATCGTGAAATAGGCCCCGCAACTTTCCCGTCTTGTAATCGATTACAAATCATCTTAGACTTCTAATCAGTCTTCAGCCAACATTTTTATGACGGACAGCAATAAAAGGGAGATAAAAGTGAGTTAAAAAGGGGGTTGAAAAGGGGTTTTTTTAAATAATAATTAGATTCTAGGAGGAGGGGGGGGGGGGGGGGGGGCGGGCCCCCCAAAAAAAAATTAAAAAGGAAAAATATTTAACTAAAACTAGATAAATTTAAAGAGAGGGGGGGGGGGGGGGGGGGGGCCCCCCCCCAAAAAAAAAAAAATAAATAAATAAAAAAATAAAAAAATAAAAGATAAATTCAAAGAGAGGGGGCCATAATATTTTTTTTTTTTTAAATATTAAAAAAGGAAAAATATTAAAAAAGGAAAAATATTTAAGAAGGTAAAATATTAAAAAAGGAAAAATATTAAAATAGGTCTAGGGTCTAAAAGATAAATTTAATCATTTAAATGTAACCCTTTTTAATCATTTGCTAGCTCTATTTATTAAACCTCAAAACACCCCTTAAATTATACTTCGGTGAAAGAAGCCCCACTACCGTGCTGTCCGTCTTGAAAATGCATAGGATGGGGCCTTGTTCACGAGTATACAGTATAGTCGTGATACAGGCCCCATGTCCGTGTTGTAGAACATGCAACGCCGTTGTGCGGGGCCTTTATCACGAGTATATATAGCGAGTTGAATAGCAGACTCGCTAATATATACTCGTTATACAGGCCCCGCTGCTGTGTTGAATTGTGCGCTATGCCGTAGCGCGGGGCCTATATAACGAGTATATAAGTATAGTCGTGATACAGGCCCCGCTGCTGTGTTGAAGTGCGCGCGATGCCGTTGCGCGGGGCTTAGATCACGAGTATATATAGTGAGTTGGCTGAAGTTAGAAGCCTAGTATAAAATTATAATCGATTCAAAACAGTTGCGGGGCCTATATCACGAGTATGCCGTTCATTTGAACGTATGAATGCCAAAATGCAGCCATATAATGAGGATGATTGTTTCAGTCTTCATTATCACAAAGTATAGTTATGTCGACTTCAAGATTTGAGAAAAATGTACGTGAAGGATACTTCTTTTTCATAGTGAAGAAAATCTTCGACAATTTCCTTATTCCGGGTCTTGTTCTATGGAAAAATCCCCCCTCCCCACCCCCTTAAAATAGGCTTACACTCTTTATACCAGTAGTTGCCGGGGGTTTCGACGCTTGGAGTTCTCATTTAATATGGCAATTATTATTCCGAATTGCTACTACCTACAATTTCCTCGATGAGGGCCTTCACATTTTACTTGTCGAGGCTTTAATCCTTCACGCAAGGAAACCATGGATACCCCACACTCTACATCAACAAGATGTAAATAATTAACTATTAAGTTGCCAAGGTGTTTGTTGCCACACGAAGTTTTCATTTACGTTTGGTTTAGGGTTAGGCTATAGTTTAAAAATAATAATAATGATAACAATAATAGTAACAATGATATTAACAATAAAATTATTTTAATAATGACAGTAATAATAATAATAGTGATGATGATTATAATAATATGAAAAATTGTGTGTAACCAGGGGAAATCCTCATCAGCTGTTGAAGTTCGACATTTTTGTTGTGTCGGAAACTGGCCCCGGCCCATTTTGTTGCCAAATCACATCGTCTCATTCACAGAGCACGCATATCTCGCGTTGTGAAAAAGTAACTTACAAGCAGCATCTAATTGAAGAAAGTATGTAAGTAAGAAGAAAATAATTGAAAGAGTGAGTGAAGGAAGTATGTACTTAACAAGAAAGTAATTGAAAGAGTTAGTGAAGGAAATACATATTTAAGAAGAAAGTAATTGAAAGAGTGAGTGAAGGAAATATATTTTTAAGAGGAAAGTAATTGAAATAGTGAGTGAAGGAAGTATATATTTACGAAGAAAGTAATTGAAAGAGTAAGTGAAAGAAAGTGTGTAAGTATTACAGAAGGAGTAATTGAAAGAGTAAGTGAAAGAAAGTGTGTAAGTATTAACGAAGGAGTTATTGAAAGAGTAAGTGAAAGA